CTCCGAACTATTATTGGGAATAATACTATTATAATATTTAAATTATATAGTAGGGATCCCGTCTTTATTATAAGGGACTCAAAAGAATTATTTAATTTAATTATAAATCGCTAGAATATTGATAGGGTTATTCTAAATAATATCCTTAATAATAATTATAATTTTAATATTTATAAATTCAATAGCTATAGGGTATATTTCCTTTATTTTAAAAATATTATTTTGAATCTTAATATTCTTAATAAGTAATTAATCTATTCTATTCTCTTTATATATAAATAAGACCTTCTTAAACTATTTTTCTAATATTTTATTAATAGGGGTAAATGAATACGCCCGAGCCTTATTATTTAGAATAATTCTAAGCTATTTAAGGGCTACCTTAAGTATTTCCGTAGTAAAAAGTCGAAATATTAGCGCGAAGGGAGGAATAATTATAGTATTTAATATTATTTTATCGGTTTTAAATCTCTTTAACTCGCCTATAATTATTATAGTATTTTAGAAAATAGTATAAATCTCTTTTTAATTAACGTTTACCCTAAAGGCTTCTCCTAACTAAATAGCGTTTTTAAAATTAATAAAAATAATACAAATTCGAATTACTTATTTTCGAATAAAGGAAGATATTTTATACAACTCCTTAAATACTCCTATTAAAGTATAATTAATAGCGATAATAGGAGGGCTATTCTTAATTTAAATTTAGTCCTAGTATTATTTAACCTACTTAGAGTCTTAAAGTAAATTAAAAAATAGGATAAATAGGGTATTCTGTAAATTTTATTATTATTAAACTTCGAATTTTTATTTCTTAAATTTCTAATAATTAGAGTAATCAATATTTAAAATTATAAGGGAGCGGATTATATCCCCTAATCGTTCTATATTAAAGGACTTAATATATATATAGTTAGGGATATGGTCGTTAAATTCTTTTCTAAAACCCTTAAACGCTGTAATATTTATACTCTTATCCTAATTAATAAACTTCTAAATAGTAATACTATAATTACAATTAATATCCTTCTATTTATACTCCTAAATAAAATAACTAAATTATTTATATTAATAGTACTACTATTAATACCCTCCTCTATTATCTCCTTTTATACTTTACTTATTCCTATTTTTTTTTATAAAGGGAATTAGTTTGGATAGTATTAATTTAAGGGTCTATAAATTAAATAAGCTAGCGAGGGGTAAACTATTAAGGGAGGGAAGGTTACTATTAAATTAGAAGAATAAGGGCGGTACTTTAAATAATTATTAATTATTCTATATAGTTAATTAGGCTATTTATAGTCTTTTTATTAAGAGCCGGGGCAATTTTAATAGGGATTTACACTTTCGTAATTATTTTTTTAAAAAGAATCTTCATTATAGTTTCTTCCTTAAAGGATTTAGAGGAGTTATTTAATTTAATTATATACTTAGATTTATATTTATACTTTTTAATAAATATTTCTTCTTTACTATTATTAATATTTAACGAAGTACTAGAGGCGATATTATTATACTATCCAATTATAAGTTTAATTGAAATTTAAGAGAATTCGGTCTAATTTATAATATAAAATTCCTCCTTCAATTTCTATAAGAAAATAGTAATTACATATTTTATCTTAATATATAATTTCCTATAGAAGTTTTTAATAGTATTACGGTTAGCGCTATATTAATTCAACGCATTCTAACGGGTAAATAGGGCTAAATAAGTAAGAATAGTATTTATAATCTTATTTTTCTAGTAAGGGACGTATTTAGTATAGAACTTTTTTAAGGTAATAAATATACTATTTGTCTATTCGGGGTCCTTCGCTTTATAAATTACTTTAAATTTTTTAATAAACTCTTCCTAAATATAGGGTTTCTTTGTTTTTAAATTATAGAGGAGGCTTTTATTTATATCCTTAAACTCCTTCTTATATTATTATTAGAGCTAAATACTAATTTTAAATTTTTTATTTCCGAATTTATAAATACTGACCTCCCCTTTGAATAATTTAATATATTTAGAAACCCTTTTTCTATCAAACTTCTTCTTAAGGAGAATATTATAAGTAAAAGTAGTATTATTAGCGAAGAAGGCGGCGGTAATATTAAGGGATATTTTAACCGGGCGGGTAGGGGTATTAGTTAAAGGCGTTTTATTAAAGGGGGTATTAGTAGTATTAAATATAATAAATAATTAGGATTTATAGAAATTTTAATAGTAAATTTATAATTTATAGTATTAATATTGAAAATTAATATTAATACTTTTCTTTCTTAGCAAAGAGTAGATTTAAAACTCCTTATTAACGCTTTCTTCTTTATATAAGTACTTTAGTAACTATAATAATTAAATTTTAGGGTCCTATATAAGTACTAGCGCTTAAAGGTTTAGAGAATAGTATAATAGGCGAATTGAGATTACTAATACTACCTCCTTACCTACTTTATTAACTTTTTAAAATATTATTTTAATTGCTCTAAAAATATTAAATAAAGAGCGGAATACTATAATTATTAAACCTATAATCACTTCGGCAATTCGAAGTATAAATTCTATATATAGTATATAAATATTTAATTACCGAGTACTACTTAGTAAGGGGCGGATACGTACTAGCTTTCTTTCTATTTATTATTCTCTTCCTAATCTTTCTTCTTAAAGTCTATTTTTAATCTTTCTAATTTAATCTTATTATCTTTTTTTATTATAATTAATTTTAAAATTATAAAATAAGGGATTTCTAATTTAATTTAGTAGGTATAGTAGTTTAAAATATCCGTAGTCTATTATCAATAGATTATAAATTAGTTAATAAAACGGGGATCTAAATATATTTAGAATTAAAGTTTCTACTAAATCGAGTAAGAGATTCCTCTACCGAGGGAATTAATTAGCTCTTTACTATTTAATTCCTAGTACTTAAATTAGTATCTTGAGGTTCCCGAAGGTAACTTCCGCATCGTTAAAAAATCCCTTTTAAAAACTTTTTAAATTCATATTAACTAATTTAATTAGGAATTTCAAACTCATTTTATCTTTATTACTATTTAAAATAAAATAAAAATTATACTAATATGAGAAGTACCTTACTATACTAAAATATAGAGAGGAACGGATTTAGAGTTGGTTATAACCTTCGTCCTTAAAGATTGAGATAGAATAGTAAAATTATAATTTATTAACTACTATTAAAAGTTAAAGAGGAGAGCGAGGTTCCCCTTATTGAACTTTAAATAGAGGAATAAATTTAGAAGTTAGTCTTCCTCTAGAAGGGTTATTAGGCTTACTATTACTAGGACGATCAATAATAATTCTATAGTCTAGAGCGGAATTCCTTAATCTATTTTCGAGAGAAAGTATTATCTAGTCTTAAATTCCTATCCTTTCCTCTTTCCTCCTAACTTAAGATCTCCTCCTTATATCCTTTTAATTATTACATTTATAAGGTATCTCTTAATTAATATAATAGATCTACTCCCCGGTAGACTATAGACTAAGACCCTAATACTTCTACTTATCTATCCCTAAGGGATTCTATACTAGAATAATAAGCTTAAAGCAAAAATAAAGACAAAAAAAGCAAAAAGAAACTAACTACCCTAAATCAATACTTCTACAAATTTAGTAAAAGCAGTATTTAAAGAATAAAAAAAAAATAGTATTTAGTAGTAACTATTTTAATAATAAAATTTTTTTATTATTATTCTAATTATTAAATAATATTCCTATTATACAAAACCAGTTTGAATATTCAATTTTGTAAAGCTTAATATAAAGTCTATTAATTTTTAATTTAAAAGTTCGATATTTAAAAGTAAGATTCATCCTACTATCCAAATTATACTAATAAAATTTTAGATATTCCGCACTAGATTTGCTATTTGTATATCAATGCCGGTATTGTCGTTGAAATGCCGGCCGACATACGGCTCCCGCGACCGCAGCTCAAGCGCTTACGTGTCGCTACGGTTCCTACTTAAGCGCATTACGCACGGAACATAAAAGTTACTAGTGATATTGGTGTTGCGTCCGTACGGTGGTTCGAGGCAGGCGTAGTACTTGCTAAAAGCGATAATTGGGAGATTTTGCGCGGACCTGGATAACGACCCCCGATCCAGGCACCGGCAGCGACGGCTCAGAGGACGGGCGGGACGGACTGGACTCTTCCGCACTCTCCACTTTTCCCGCTGATGACTCCACTTGATCCTATGTTTGGCCAATGAAACCTCCTGTACGCTTCCGCGGCATGGAGCCACTCTCCTAAATACAATCACGGCAGGATCTCTTTACTCACCCGACGCCTTCCTTGCACTGCACTGCACTTGCCAACTTCCATATCTGCTTCGTGCAGTTCGTTTCGACTCAGACTTTTTCTTTGGCGGAAAGAGAGACTGATTGAGGAGAAACGGGTGTCTCGTGGAATTGACATCTTTTTTTCAGACATGATGAGGATTTTATGGCCAAGCAAAACTCGGTCGGGACTGAGTGCCATGTCTGTTGTTCTTTTATCTTGTGGTCGCCTCAGACATGGGGTCAAGCTGCGGATCTCGAGTATGGGATTCCAGATGCTCAAATAAGATTCAGCCAACAAAGGATCAAATCCCTTCACCGGTGAAGGCTGTCCTAGACTGCCGGTTCAATCGGGAAGCTTTCCCACTGCGTTTCGCCTGAACTTTTATAGACAGAAATGGTTACATTGACACCCGCTTACCCGCCCTGGGGCCCCGGGCATGCTTCCCCGGCACTGGCTTCAACTTCCGCTGTTACACTCTCCCGCTCTCTACCTACCTGCCTCACTGGGTACTGGCTTCCGAGCCATACCTGTACCTATACATGAATCCGCTCTCCCCACAGGACCCCCTTTCCCATCAAGTACTTCTACTGCCCACGATGCTAGTCTTCAAACCGTTTGACATCTTTACGGACGACAGAGAGACAGTGTCGAGGTCGGGTTATTAGACTTGGACCTTGATCTACAACAGCGTGAAACGATCCACATACGATGAACAGTACGGCAAATAACACTACGGCACCATCAGAATTATGCGACCCGTATTATATATGGCCGCCGGCAAGTGAACGAGCCCATGATTCCCTAAGGCCAAACATCTACGCTTCAACCGTCATTTGCTGGCTTATAGCCGCTCTTTTTGTTGGGTTGCGGCTATACACGAGGAGCGTCATTATTCGAGTGTTGGGACCCACGGATTGGAGTATCTTGGCTGCTTTGGTGTTTTCGTTGGCTACAAGTGTTGGGACTATAGAGCGTGAGTACCTCTACCTACCTATCCAAACATGTTCATGGATAGCAGATGGGAATACTAAAACTGAGCAGAGGCTATCAACGGTTCCGGCCTTCACGTCTGGGACATTGACTGTTCAGATGCAGCAGTGGGGATTGCTTGGTACAGGGTACGTTCCTCCCCTTCTTTAACACGACAAAGAAAGACATGGACGCAGTCACTAACATACATCTCACCACAGGCCTCCTGGTACTCTCTCGTCTTCTACACCCTTTGTCTCTACTTCTCCAAGGCCTCCATCTTGCTACTTTACATTCACCTCTTCAACTTTCGCTGGGCCCGGCTCGGTGGCCAAATCCTCCTGTCCATCGTCACCATCAGCTACGTCTGTATGCTCGCCGTGTGCTTCGTGGCTACTATACCCTTGAATTCCTACTGGGACTCCACCATTCAGAGACAATGGACTGCGCCCCAGTCAATGTGGTGGTCCAGCACAGGTCTGCACATGGCGACAGACTTTTTAATTTTCTTGCTGCCGTTGCCTGTGGTGTGGTCAGTCATGTTGCCCAAGAGGCAAAAGATTGCGCTTTCCGTGGTCTTTGGATTTGGTTTTGTGTAAGTCTTTCTCCCTTCGCCGCTGCCCCCTCCTGCTCCCCCGACTGACTTTGGTAACAAACAGGATCTGCTTCATCTCTATCCTCCGCCTCCTCAAGCTCCTCAAAGTCCAAACTACCCGTAACCATCCGACCGATTGGACCTACAACGCCGCCGAGCTCACTTACCTTACGGCACTCGAGTGTAACGGCGCCATTGTCTGTGCCTGCGTCATGACGTTGAGGCCCTTCATCGTTAAGTACTTCCCCAAACTCCTTGCCTCCCATTCCCGCTACCCCATTGGAAGCAACGGGCAAGGCGGAAGACTGAGCGATAGTATCACTCCGCCAACCATTGGATCGAAGCCGTTCAAGCCTCCGGTATCACCGGCAGAGGCGGTTTACATGCGACGGGAGAGGACGAATGCTTGGATGGATGGTGGTTATGTAGAGCTGGATAATACGTGGGAGGGGTTCGAGGGGGCAGCGGTAAATGATATGGAGATGAAGGAAGGGGTTGGGAATAAGAAGGAAAAGAACGGGGAGAAGGAGCATTTGGGGGTAAGGAAATGGAATAGTCTGAGGACACTCCACCACCACCACGATCAGAAAGGGGGTAGAAGTACTGGAGAAGAAGATGGGATCCAAGTGAGGAAATCGGTGGATGTTACGGTGCAGGTTGCGCAGTCGAGGGAGCATGAGAATGAGGATGGGAGTGGAAATGAGAGCAGAGACAGGGCAAGTGAGGTGTGTGAAAAGGGGACTGCGTTATGATCTCGTAATGATGGGACAGACGATACCAGGCTACGGGATAAGGGTGTTGAATGATTATGAGCGATGGTACCAAAAACAGTTCTACTAGGTACGGTTCGATTAGGTCTAATCACGTATTGGCTTGGAGCACATTTGCCTGCAGGGAAATTTCAGTGGGGAATCAAACTGCTTGATTGTATAATGTTATTTGTGTGGTGGGGACATCTATGAAGGTCTATACTCTAGGATGCATCCTGTCTACAGGATGCGCCAACTTATTTACTTTCTTTTTGTTACGCTACGAGATGGGAAAAGACCATGTACTAGCAACCCCAAGCCACTTTGGAACCACCACCTTTGGTTCTGCAGGCGAAGCTGCCTTTCTCAACCGTACTGTTGCCGCCGTCGTAGGCTTTGGCGCCGGATAGACATGGACAAATGGCCGAATTTGAGGAGGACGAACAGCTACGGGTACATATTCGAGTTCGCTCTCATTTATGGAAGGCAGATCGTGGATGGTGAGGTACTCGAGATCTTCATCCAAGTTGTTGATGAACCGAGATGCCGATGGCTGACGCACATTCGGCCTTAGGGCAGTTGTCGACCTTGGTGCCGGCGCAGGACACTTGATCAAATCTCTCACATCTCTACTAATCGGGACTACCGATCTGTCGTTGCTAGTCCGTCTCCTCTTGGTGTCCCGGCTGTTCTCAAACTCGGCCTCATCCGAATCGTAGCAGAAGCGAGCAGAAGAGCCGCCGGCGTGGTAGTCCGGGACACCAGGGAGGTCACTTTCGTCGTCTGTTTCAGACCAAGTTCTCTTTTTGCTAGATGTAGCATATTTGCGGCTGCCCGATGTACCGTTATATACTGGGTAGCGAATATTTCCATCAGAGAGGCAGGATGCAGTCGAGCTGTCCGAGTCAGAGGAAGAGTCGTAATCGCAGAGTGTCATTTTGATGATGTTTACTGGCACTTTAATGTTGTTTACTCTCAGTTAACGCGTCTGATAATCAACGTAGATCTTATTGATGAGGAAATCGTAACGCCCTTATATTATTTTCTGATCGAACTACGGAGGGGCGCTGTTCAGGGCAGTCTTGTCCTTGGTGTACAACAGCTATGTTCCTTACAAGAGACGGAACAAGTCGCATTGAATCTGATGAAGCCATTGTTCAGCCGATCCATTGTTTATGTCCCATTGCAAGGGTCAACATAGATCAAGTAACCAAGGAGTGGAATGGATGCCGACAACCCGGGGACAAAGAATGTTGGTACACCGAAACCTCCAGTCGAAGCCACTCGAAACCAGTGGGCCTATCGGGACCTCTCCGCCGGTCAAGATGTCAGTGGGTTTGTTTCCAGTCTGATGTGGTCCAAGTGGATCTTTTCGGCGATAGTTGACAGAATTATCTCCCTATATCTTAGGTACCAACTTGATGATGTGAATGAGGAGTGTTCGAGTGATGTCGAGCCGAAAGATGGTTTCAGGGTCCAGCGGGTTACGTCAGCAAGCGTGGTGGAGTAAGTGATGAGTTCTTAACAACAAATGCCCCGTATTTGCCCGTAATCTGATAGACAATTAACTGATTGCAGTCCTGTGACCACCTCGCGCAATGACATCACCTCTCTCAGCACCAGATAGAGGTACGCAGGAGCACATTCGAGACTTCTCCCCCTTGACAGGAACAGATGAACAGTTCTCTTCCTTACCAGACGCCCATCGACTCTTTTTGATTCCAGCCCGTCGAATCAGACACGCCTTGTCCAAGTCATACGGCCAGATCCAATATCCCATCTTTATCCAAAACAAATCGCAACACAACAGAAAACCTCGAGCAGCAAACAGAAAGCTCCAACGGGAGGCAGCACATCCTACCTACCTATCTTCACAACAACCACAACAAGTACCATCATCCACGCCCAAAGACAAAATGCCCGAAATCACCCGCACCTTCAACAACCCCCTAGCCTCCCATCAAGCCCGGCACCACCACGACCTGCGCGGCACCGGCGAACAAGACCCCTCGGGCGGGCAGACGCGCGCCGAGCACGAAGCCGACAAGCCCAAGCACCCCTTTGACGAAGCCCTCCGACCGTCGCACGTGTTGGGCGCGGAGAAGAACATGGGCGCTCCCGAGAAGCTGGATGCCAAGGCGCAGAAGGAAGGCGGGGCGCTGAGCGGTGCAGGGTTGAAGGACACGCTGGACATGATGGCGACGGAGGAATATAATCCGTACAGAGAGGGCAAGAAAAATCCGCGGTTGCAGGAAGGGTTGCCTCACGGAGTGGGAGGGTTGGAAGGGAAAAAGACGGAACTGGAGGGGGCAGGGGATTTGTTCCCCCCGACTTATGATGAAGAAACACCGTGAGCCGTGGATGGTTATACTCATTTGTTGGGAAGACTCTCGTTGGTGTTGCGTGGATAAGGTACTTGGTAACATATTCTTTTTTTCTGTAGTCGGTGATGATATGGCTGTGGTTCCCTTTATATGATGGTGTATGCTGAGCCTGCACAGCCAGCTAGCCATCTGTGGGAAAAAGTGCTAAAAGGCACATTGATCGAGGGAAGGCATTTATGTTGTTGATCAATGCAAGGAGGGTCTGTCTAGATTACTCTGGCTATGGTCAGCTTGCAAACTTGGAAGTACAGGCAATAATGGCGGGTGATCGGGGAATGTCAATTTCGATCATCTTTAGAGGTATAATTCCTCGTGCTGCCTTGGAGTGCAATCCCCGTCGGGTTGACTCAATTTCCTCATCGATACTTTGTTCTTCTTTCTGTCTGGTTTGGCGTTTTTCTGTACCATAGATCTTGATCCTCTCTGTCCTACATCTTCCATCTATGGTATTCTCGGAGCCAATATGCTTTTCCACATTGTGAATGTTGTCGCCCAATAATTTCCTCCGCCGTTACCGTGACGCCGTAGCGACAACGGTCAGCGATTCGGTTGGCTTATTCATCACTGGTCATTCTCTTCTCTTTCCCTGCGATACGCGGAAGGCGGAATCAAGTCAGCATTCGCTCAAGCAAATCATTCATTCTTCTCCCGAAGCGTTCAACTCTGCCTCTCTAAGCACGTGAGATTCAGCTACGCCTCTTTTCTGCATGTCGGACCAACCACCAGCACTACCACCAACAATTGGCCGAAGGGGTCCGGTACGACTCCGATAGCGAACTTTTACCGTTCGATGATCTGTTTGGATGGTTATGATGGTGGACAATCGGCAAACCAGAGGAACACTGCATCAATTTGCATCTGGAAAGTGACGTTGAGTTTGCAGCGGTGCAGTACGCTAGTGGAACTTTGTTCTCTCCACACGACACACGACAGCAGGTGGAGATGGGCCCATGCAAGGGGACCCTTATCTTTTACACGTCGACAAGGGCGGCATGTCGGGAAATTCATGAGATCAAGAGTCAAACCCATTACCCGTCAGGCCTACAACATCGGCGATTACGTACATGATGATACAGACATACGATTAAATAAGAAATGGTATTGTTGATACATCAGACGGAGCTGGACTAGATAGTAGGCGAATAGGTAAGCGCTGTTGTGTGCTTGTCCTCCAATATTGATTGCTTGTTAGCATCGCCAACTCTGCACGTCTTCATTGTCAGTGCTGAGTCGCTGTCTGTTCTTCCTCCCATCGCAATCATCCCGTCATCTCCTTCATCCATCATGCCGATACGAAGACCGTTGCTTGCTTTGTTTCCTCACGCAAGCGTTGAAAGATCCTAAACGCCAGTCGCAAACCCTTCAAGTTGCTATCCCCGGCGCAGGTCCTTTCAGTGCTTTCCTTCCATGCCCATTTGTTTGAAAGGTATTATATTCGTCGCTGTTTGTTCATCGGTCGATCGATGGGTTTTCGAATTGTTGATAGTCGCCTGTCACCTATTCCTATGTCCCCCGCATCGTCTCACGTTCCGTTTTCCTGTGAACCAGACCCCAGCTTACTGGAAACGATGTGCTTGGTTAGGCGGTGGCCCCTCGGGCGGAGCATACTGATCATCCGCACCTCTGTGGTATGCGCTCGTCGGTTGCTGGAGTTGGATACCTTCTTGCTGGTTGCCATAAACGTACTCGCCGTTCTGGTCCGCCTTCTGGCCATTCGGTGGTGCGTAGTACCCTCCTGGGACTTGACTACCCGGTGGCGGCTGGGCGGAATACTGGGGCGGCGCGTATGGGGGCGGGGCGGGAGCCATCCAGCCCGTTCCATACATGGGTTGCGCCCCTTGGAGGCGGCGGCGGCGGGAATTTTTACGTCTACAGCCATGAGATGTCAGTGGCAATGGTCAGGTGATGATTGGGATGGTAGGGGGACGACGTACGCCATAAGGTAGACCGAGAGAAAGACACAAAGAATCGCCACGGCTAGTAAGATCCAGCGGCCGTAGTAGTACCAGTGGCTATAGCAGTAGGGTCGGCCGTATGCATCAACGTAATCACAACGACTAGACACACGTTAGCAAGGTTAAAGATGTGTTGTTGGTGATGCGAAAATGAATGGCTTACCCTCGCTTGGCGATCTCGTGGACCTGGTTGGCCATCTCTGCTAGAGGAGCCATTGCGGGCTGTTGGTGGGAGTGGACTTTGTGGATTTCCTTCGATTCTGATATCAGATTGCGATGTCTCGATGTCTTTGCTGCGACAGCAATAATGTCGATGTCGAATATCGACGGACTCGATTGTGTCAGGTCAAGGTGGAAAAGCGAGGAGATGCGAAAGTGAAAGAAAAGAGAAAGAGGTTTGACGGGACGTTCCTCCCCTGCGCTGGGGGGTGACGTTGGATTTAAAAGTCGGGTTTGATGTTCACAGGGAGTCGTCAGGGCGTCCGTGGCGGGGAGGGGCTCAGACAGTCACAGGTTCAGAACACCAAGCCCCAGGGCAGCTTCCCCGTCACGACGGACCTGGAAGAAGGATTGACGCTTGTATCCGTAGCGAGGCACCACTCCAATGTTCTAGGCAGCTCTAGCAGGGCATATTGTGGAAAAAGCCGGAGAAATCTAATGCTGGTCACCGACCCCCGGCCCTGAAATCCTTTGTTTTCATTCATTGCCAGGTGTGCTTGTTGGAACATATAATCTACGCAAGGTACACAGTGGCTGAGCTGTACTTATCTAGCTGGCTGACTGAGCAAGATCTTGAAGGTTCGACACTGTCAAACCAACACCTCGGCCACCAATTCCGTCTTCCATCAAATTTCACCTGTCAAGCGAATCCTATGGTGATGATTATCAAATAGGGGTCACCAACCTAAGGTCACCAATGGTCTGCTCAATGGTTCACCTCTGTTGCGAGAACTTTGACCTGCCAAGCCGCCTATCCGAGACCAGAAAGATACAGCATCGGCCGATCCCACGTCGTGATCTCGGACAAGACTCATAGCGGCCAACAGTCCAATACACACTCTCCCTCGATTGCATATACCTAGAAGACAACCAACCGCCCGCTGCAACGACGGCGAGCTTGTTTGGGACAATGGGTAGGTAGTATAAATGGCATGTGGTTGTGGTTGCGATATTAGCCGTACCATTGCCGTCTTGCGTGGTAAGTAGGTATCTTTGCTGCGCATATCCATTACATATCGCTGGTATCAGGGAGTGTTACCCAATTCAGAAAGACGGGAATATTCACAGAGTGTGGCTGTCTGTCTGCCTGTGGCAAAGTCCATGGCATGACATAAACTGTCCTTTGTTGGCATCGTCGGTGGAAGTGAACAAGATCGATACCTACCCAAACGGGAAACTTGAATAAGATTGCAGTGGACGGGTTGAGTGGAGGTGCAACGCGACACTGCCGACGTATCAGCCTTGAACATCAGACTCCCGTCGCTGTTCCTGTCCAAGGTGCCTGGGTGCTTCGGTGCGACAGACAGATGGCATCGCGCGTGGATGGAAGCGATCGTCTGTCAATAATCATCTTGATGAGAGGCCGCCCGTATGCCAAGTCCCTTGCAGTTAAGTTACGCAGGTAACAAAAACAGTGAGCGGCATGACAGATGGCGGCGTTGTGTTATGGTCATGTTTCATTGCGATGATGCAAAAAGGGAAGGAACTGAATTCCACTCGACAACTCTCTCGCAGTCCAAAAAATGAGATTCATTTGGCTCACTGCACTGCGAGGCACAGCTCTGCCAAGATTGCCAAGTAATGCTGCAGTGCAATATGCTCCAGAAATGCCAGCTGGTGGCGGCCCGCTGGCCCAGACCCTGCCGGCCTCAACCACGTCCCCGTCTGGGCGCGCACCGACCGCACTGCAATGACCACTGCACACGCTTCCAGGTCCAGCGGCCCAGCGCACTCGCCAAAAAGGCCACTACCAGCTGGCTTAGTCAGCACGTGACAGACTTTAGCCCCATTCGTTTTCCCCTCCCACACAAATTTTGAGGAACGACTCTGAAAATTATCAAGTCCCGAACGTACGCATCGTCGTGATCTTGCCATCCAGACAAAATGGCTACGCAAGCGGTCCAGGTTTTCGGCAAGAAGAAGAACGCCACGGGTATGTCGAGATATTGCATTTTGGAATTTCGGGCCATCTCATGACAGAGCGACAATTGCTGACGTTTTTGCGACAAATGTAGCGGTCGCCCGCTGTGTGCAGGGCAAGGGCCTCATCAAGGTCAACGGTGTTCCCCTTAAGCTCTACGCCCCCGAGATCCTCCGGGCCAAGCTCTACGAGCCCATCCTTCTCCTCGGTACCGACAAGTTCGCCGAGGTCGATATCCGCCTCAAGGTCTCCGGTGGTGGTCACGTCTCCCAGGTCTATGCCGTCCGTCAGGCTGTAAGTTTGGAAATCTGCGACTCCGGAAACAGTTTGCGACAACAGATATGCTAACAGAATTGCTCTCTACAGATTGCCAAGGCCATTGTCAGTATCTCCCGATTCACGAGCCCCCTTTTCCCCGACCGATAACACTTTGCCGAATTCCATGACACGATGCACCCGAAGAATATGCAAAGACGAGAAAACTAACCAGGGCATTTTTGGTGGATTTACAGGTCGCCTACTACGCCAAGTACGTCGATGAGCACTCCAAGAACACCCTGAAGACCGCCCTCATCCAGTTCGACCGTACTCTCCTCGTCGCCGATCCCAGACGTTGCGAGCCCAAGAAGTTCGGTGGTAAGGGTGCCCGCTCTCGCTTCCAGAAGTCCTACCGTTAAAGGACTACCTGGAGAGGGAGAAAGTGGTGGTGCTTGGATGGTTGTGGTTGTGCGCTGGCTGCTTTTGTTGGCGAGCATCATGATGCGTGGACACGGCGGACGGCGTTCTTCGGCATTGCATTGATCAAGAAAGAGACCCGAGTCAAGTTTTCCGGACGACCACGATATGGCTTGCTGCTTGTCTGCTAAGGGAGGAATTATCAGCAACAAACACGGCCGTGTGTTGCCGCATCTCGGCCAGAGATAGAGGGAATGCAAACAAAAGACTCGAGTCCTTTCTTCTGTTTTGTTTCTGCAGACCTCCCAAAAAGCGAAAGAGATACCACACATCCATTACACTACAACAGGTCCGAATCTTTTTGGTGGTTTAATGATCAATCATGCGCGAAACGACGAGACATAACGACCGGTTCAGCAACGTCACATAGAGAGAGAGCTCTAAGGGTAGAACTTGGGGCGATCGAACTTCCAGCACACCACACAATAAGAAGGATCAAGCCATTTCATGTTCCTCTGCGGTTTCTGTGTTTGTGCCATTCTGCGATTGTGACTGGAGGCAGCAGGCGAGCGAGTGTTTCGCTGGTGAGTCGCGGTGACAGTGTCACTGAAGCTAACGATAGAACCGACTGAGCGACCATCCGTTATGAACAGGGGAATCAAGAAGGCCAGAGTGACTCGGGGACAGCCTTTAGGCCTTGCCTGGTCTGCAACTACGGTCAGTGTTGTAGAAGCTGTCTCTGGTTTTCCGCAGTTCATCATGACTGCTTGGGCGACGCGGCTGTGAAGTCAATCACAATGCCAAAGGTCTCTACCACTGGCACACCCGCTTGATGAAGGTCAGCTGTCCTCTGGTTCGTTCAGCCCTACGATCATCGTGATAACCTCCGAACGAATCACTGCGTAGAAGTATCTTGAGCCTTGCCGGAGGTCAATGAACAAACCGGGATACCAAGCCGAGCCATCACTCTGGAAGTTGAAGTAAAAACGGCGTAGGGTAATGTGATGTCTACCCAACTACGCTCACAACATTCCAGGTGTGTAGGCACACATGAACCCCTAACACCTTTCTTAATTTTCATTTTATTTTTCCTTGATTTTTTCTTTCCCCCACAAAGCAGTTGCTGGACGAAACCATCAAACCCAGGCTCTCTCGGTCTGATTCACATGGTGTTACACCCTCACTCAAACATTTACATGTACAGCACGGTGCACCTTCAGCCCAGCAATTTGATCGTCAGGTACCTACTCAGTTCCTTGTGTGCTTGTTTGGACTTATACGTGCTTCTTCTTCTTTTTTTCATGAAATCACCAACATCTTTAACGGTTACGGTTCAACACAGCCATAAACAAACCAAGAACGACGAGATTCAATACTTGGAACCCATGCAGCTTCACATTCATGAACAATGGTGTGAGTGAGTGTCCGTATTGCAAGCAAGTGCGAAATTTCCCCAAACATGTCTTCCAGTCGAGTCCCCCATCCCATCCCATCCCAATCCCAGCTGGCATCCATGACCACCATCCCTTCCCCCCCCTTCTCCAAACCCGCGGTGCGCGCGGCGCGCAGCCCTGCGCTCTTTGCTCCAGCCAATCAGACCGACCCACGTCAATAAACGATGGAGTCGTGTCAGTCAGTTCGAGGGGTCAGTCAGTCAGGGCCTCGCTGGCATCGATCAAGGGTACTGTAGTCAGGTCCCCAAACAACATAAGTCCCAGTTTCCTGTCCTTCCCCCCGTACCTACAACCTACCAAATGGTTTTGAAAGGATGCAAAAGAGGCCAGCCAGGAGCAAGGCAGGAATTTTGTTCTGGGTTTCAGGCAAGGACCTGACAGAAATATTCATGAGGGCATGCCTGGTTCCTCTCTCTTGTTTGTCTCTTTTGTTTTCCTTCTCCTCCCGTCCATTTTCCCCATCCGTTGTTTTTGGTGTTCGTGTAGGCCTTCAATGATCTCGCGCCTGCAGCAGCCCAACAACAACAATAACAATAACAACAACAACCAATTCATCCGCCTCACGCCTCGTGCCTCGTTGGGACCTGAACTCGCTCGAGTCTCGAGTCTCTTGCACCTCAGGGTCACTCACCTGCCTACATACACACCGTACGGTGCTACTCCATGTCACTCACCTTGGTTTTCATCGACCGATACGATTGAGTTCGCGGTAATCCGCGTCGTCCATGTCACCATTCGAATGAGTATTTCTACCTACTGCTACTCTCCTTCCTGTCACAGACCTGTCGTTCTTAACTATGTCTACAAATCATGGAATTGACTCTCTGGGATCTTCCTCTTGTCATTGTCACTATAACTATCCCTCTGATACTCAAACTCGCTCGCTCACTCGCTCAAAGTTGAGTACACGAAGAGAAGCGGATATCTGGAAAGTTACAAGGTTAACCCAAATCCCCTTTCTTCCTCGTTTCCCAGATCCCTTCCTTGTCCACACCTCGTCTTCGCAGAACCTCTCAACTTTCCATCCATGATATATCCAAACCAGGTAAAGCACACGTCGAAACAAAGGAGACAAGAAACTACACAAGATATCACCCCATTCCTATTACCACATCGTTTCCAACTCCCTCCCGTGGTTTGAGTGGCGAGTGCCATTTCGTTCTAAGATTCGTTTTAAGCCCAGTCGTCGCCGACGGACAGTTTTCCCAATATTCAAATGAAAAAAAGGAGTTCGCTCTTACACCAAAACGACGACGCTGTCCCCTTCATCACGTGGACAATAGGGGACGAATGCCGTCAATGTATAACAGCATACCAGAAATATATCCAAACAAACGCGCAAGCCGAGATCGAATCGAAGATACCTACACGACCGCGATCTGTTGCCGACCGAGAAAAAGAATCAAACAACGTCGTCGTCTGCTGGTTCGTCGTCGCAAAGGATACCGAAATATCAAAATCGAAATTCGAATGGCGCGAGGTCCGGAAAAGAAGATGAAGAACAATAACAAACCCAGGCCGAGGTCGCTGGACTGTTGAACCAGCGACAAACTCATATGTCCGGGCCGGAGATCGAAACCAAACAGCGCGTGGGTATTGGTAAAACGCAAAGAAAACCCTCATCCTTCGAAACCGTTCGGATCCGCTCATTTCCCAGCAAACCTCATCAACCACTGCAGCACCGCATCGAGATTCATCTCCTCCTTGGCCGAGATCCCATAACAGCTGACCTCCCGTCCGGCGATGCTTTTCAGATCCATCGCATCAATCAGCTCGTCGACACTCAACCGTTCCGGCAAATCGGATTTGTTGCCCAACACCAACAAGGGGATACCCTGGAGGGTTTCGTTTCGCATAAGGGAGTGCAATTCCTCCTTGGCTTGCGGGAGCAGACGAGGATCGGCGATGTCGACGATAAAGACTATCGCGTTGACGCCTCGGCAGTAGCGCTCCCACATCTGCCGAAAGCGCGGCTGGCCACCGAGATCCCAGCATTTGAGCGTGACATGCCCGCGTTGGACACGCTTGAGGTTGAAGCCTACTGTTGGGATAGAGCTATGTGTGGTGTGATATTAGTCGTGGGGGATAAGGAAGGGGAGAGGGGGTCAGGAGGGGATTTGATGAAATATGGGATGGGACCAAAAAGAGGTGGCTTACTCAAGGGTGAATTCTCCGCCCTGGAATTGGTCAGCAAAAGCTTCAGCTATGGAAGAGGTGGACGGCATTGGCGACTCACCGAAATAACTCTCAGCAGTGACGTCTTTCCTGCGTTCTGCAAGCCGATCATTGTCACATCCATCTCCGTCGCCCTGTTGTATCTGATATGTGAGCAATCGATGCGATAGGACAAACTGGGCAACTTCTGTGACTACTCACCAGAAAGTTCTGAGCAACCAGTCATAGACTTTCTTGAATAGCCCGGCCATGGTGGGTAATTGATGTGAAGTGATGCGATGGCGGTAGTAGATGCGAACAGGACGAGAACGAATGAAATCGTCGGGATCCGAAGGAGTTATAGACAATGGCGTAGGCGTAGACCGGACTGATCAACAGGTTGTATGGTCCGGATATTGACAGCAGCAGCGCACGCAGAGCGGCAGGCAGGTCTCAGTCGGGATATTACTTTTGCAGGCAGACGATATAACAGGTATGGTACAGGACACACGAAGAGCAGATAGTGAAAAGAAAATAAAAGTAGAATGTCTCGTATGACTCTGGCACACCCGTCACGGGCTGGCGAATCTCGCAACGAGGTGGGAGATGCAGTTCTTGTGCGATCTGGGTGGGATATGGGGTGGTTGAGGATAGTCCGTCCGAAGCCGACGCGGGGCTATCTGGCTGTCTGGCTGCTGCTGGGGTGCCGCGCGGGTGTGAGAGTGACCGAGTGGGTGACTTGACTGTGGGTAGGTGTGTGTGTGTGAGCGACTGGGATTCCGTACGGGCCGCCGCTCGCCAAGGTGAGATGATGAATGACCTCTCTCTTCTGGAGGAAGAGTGGTCCGTGCCTCGAGCCGTGATGATTGACGGATGTACTTTGTTAACTGTAGTACACAGATGAGAGCGGCTAAGACCCGGGTTTCATTCGTTTCCCTCCCAGGGCAGTAGTAAACCGGGGTTGCTGGCGGTGATCAGACTGCGAGCGTGCGATGGCGGATATCGATGAGCGAGGATAGTCGAGGTAGCAAGTGTTGGGAGATGATCATCGGCGGGGGAGACAGACTGGAAACGGAAGTCGCCAACTGGAACTAGAAAGGGAACTGTGTGATACCCGCCCGTGATCACGGACGAGAGCGTCTGAAAAGAGGGACCGGGAAGAGCAAAAGCAGGGTGTCTAGAGTATCAATCGATGCTAGGGTCTCTAGAGACTAGCTCGGGGGAGAGACTGGGGTTGACGGCGGCAGAGGCGGAGGCGGCAATAAGACTGAAGGTCGCACGAGGAAGAGAAGACGGTGTGCCAAAATGGTCAAGTCTTGGGACAAGACAACCAAGGTGTCTGATGTAGGCTAGAGACTGAAGAGTCAGATAGGTACTGTAGTATCGGCGGGCCTTTTGGTTTGAGGGCGGATGGGAAAGGTGTATAAGGTTGGATCGAACTGGAGGTTGCCGCTGTGGGATGCTGATGCTGATGCTGATGCTGGGATTATATGGGATGGCGAATGGCGGATGGCAGATGGCAGATTAGTACTGCAGGGACTGTTGTTGCTTCTGCTGGTTGGGTGCTCCCGTCTGCTTTCGTTCTGTGCGCAGTCAACGGGCCAATACGTAGAATATGTAGATCAGTCAACAGAGTCTAGTCTAGCCTGGTAAAGTCGCCTCCGTTCGGGTGAGGACTGTTCGTTGGATATGTAGACGCAAGATGGCTGCTGGTTCGTCCGTCTGTCAATCAATCAAGGACCGGGAACTGGCTGGGATGGATCTCGCTCGCCAGGGACAATCAGATCAGGGCTCGGTAGCCGGATGGATCTGTCCTGCTCTAGTCCCTTTTTTCTCTTCCGTCTCCAAAAGCTGTGTAATCCTTGGAGAACCGTTGTTTGTGTTCCTCGACGCTGGACGAGGAGAGAGTG